TATATAATAAAATTTGATTGTTTTATGACATCATCCTATTCACTTATATGATGTTGGGATATGGCATCGATTATATCTTACTTAAAAAAGTTATGCGTATTTTTCTTTTAATCTTTATCATTTAAATATAATCAAATGATTTTACACAATAAAAATTCTATTGTTTTAATTTATATAACATTTAAGTATTTAGTTTTGAATCCTTATAAATTCAAAATTATAGGAATCGGTTACTAGTGATTTTATTTTGAAACTATACGGACTCCAAGTAAAAAAAAATTATTGTATAAGAAGCAAAACTGAAATCGGGAAAATCTATAATGATTAAAATATGTTTAAACCTATAGGTGTCAAGTGGAGAGGTTACTTTTAGACAATTAAAAAAAAAGAGTAAATCGTAAGGATCTTATTATGAATAATCAAAATTAAGAAATAAGGTACATAATATTAACATTTTCAAATATTGTGTAACCTTTATATATAAGCAATCATGTAATTTTAATTGACTTTTAAATTTGATATATAATTATATAATATTAATACTTTTTATTTTCATATAAGAATGAATCTCTTATTGTGTAACTTGACTTCTTGATTAAAAAGTTATAAATTTTATTATATTAATATTTTTCTTCCTACAAGGATTTATTTGAATTAAAGTATAAAATCACATAGTATAATTGTGTTAAAATTTAATGTTAATTTATTTAATTAATAAATAAAATGTCAAAAAATTTGACTACTTAACTAGTTGTAAAAAAAATATCATACCACGTTAAAGATAAGTGATTTTAAAAGTACACAAATATTTAACTATCTCTATAGAAGTTAACAACATATTATTTAATATACTTATTCTAATACATTCTCTATTATATATAAAAATTGAAAAATCTAAAATAAAGTAAAAATTATTAAATAAAAAGTAATTAAGATGCATCAAATTTTTTTGACTTGCAAAAATCAATAATAAAAAAGCGTGTTATAAAATGTAATATTAAATTTTGTTATTATATATGAACTGAGTAAGATCCTGATGTTTGAAATGAGTAAGATCTTGATGTTTGAAATGTCTCTAACTTCTTCAGATTTCCTTTTTTTTTTTGTTTAATATTATGTATTTACCTTCTTTTATGTTTCTCCATAACTAATGAGATAATTTTTCAACCTTCTAACCGAGTTTAACTGCTTGAATTAGTATCACTAAGAATAATCAGCAAGGTAACTTCTCAAGTTTAAATAAATTGATGAGTTTATATATAAACTACCAAACTTATATAAACTACCGATTTATATTAGCTAGGTTAGTACAATTATTTTGTTTTTCTTTCTTTTTTGACAGCATAGGTACATTAGTTTTAAGGTTATACATAATCGATTCTTATACAAAATATTATTCCTCCTTCTTCTTTATAAATATTCTTCTGAATTCTTTAGATGCAAGGCTGCAAGCTTTAAAGAGAATGTTAGGCCTTAAAATTTGTGCGATTAAGATTTAGATAAGGGTAGCTTAGTGACTTATATTAAATAACGTGAATCTCTTTCCTAGTTTAATAATAATATCGTAGTGTTACAATCTTCCTCAAGCCATAGACAAATACTATGAAAGCATTTCTTCTTCTTCTTAATTTTGTGAACAAGTATTTAGATAAATAAAAAATCAAATGCGTACCATTGTCGTGATATTTTTTTTATATAAATTTTTATATCAGTTAAAATATAAGTAATGTAGAAATTCAATTATTTTCTTTACTTCGATGACATCTATATTGATTACATAACCAATATAGAATGTTTTTCTTACCGATATAAAAACCACTTTGTGTAGTCGTGATTGTATGATCCACCAATAATTACTAACATTATGTAAATATATAAAAAAAATGATTGTTAATTTCATGCATTTGATAGCCCCACAATAATTAAATTCTAAACTAGAGTCCACCTAAATCCAATTAATTACTAATACTCAACATTCTGTTGATATTATTTAATTATAATTTATAATTTATACAGGTTAATATCACTGATTAGCATACGGCGAGATATTCCGAAAAGTGCATTTTAATTTTATGTCAAGATTTTTGTTCAGGAGAAAAGTTTCACAAGTGTGTTATTCACTGTGAATATTTCTATTATTACTTGAAATTACGAGGAGGAAATTAGAAGGAAGAAAAATGAGAAAGGATATTAACTGAAAAGGAAATAAAATATAAAAGACGCGTTGTTTTAATGAATAAAAATAAAAAATACATAAACTTTTTTAGACGAGTATAAACGGTTTCGTTAGCTGCATTTAAGGGTATTAATTATTAAACTTATAATATAATCTATAAATATTTAACAAATAAAAATTCGTAAAAATGAATTGTTATTAATTATTATTAGATTTGACAGGATTTAGTTTCGGATCAATATCAAAACCTATTTCAAACTAATTTTTTCTTATAAACTAGTCAATTGTTTTAATTTAACTAATAATGATAAATAATTAAATACTTACAGTTTTTTTTCTAAAAAAATCTCTTCACAGTATACTAATTACTAGTGTATGAATTATTATTATTATTATTATTATTTCAATTGAATTGATTAGTTTTTTAGCTGGTGACTTTAAAATATTGCGTGTATTACTTCAATGTAAAAAATAAAAAATAAACTTATACATATAATTCTCCCTTCGTTTATATAATTATATATCTATATGTATGGGCTTCCGATACTCATTTTTTTTTTCAAAATTACATTTTTTTAGATGAAAAATTACAATTTTCTTATAGATATACATTTTAATTTTTTATTTATAAATAATGTTTCTGGTCGTCGTGTTCTATATCGTCATGTATCACAGCGTATCATATAACCTTTGTATTAAACAGAGCAATACATCCATGCTTTTATAAATCCAACCCATTTATCTCTTCATTGCATTCCCTCTCTTCTCTGCATAAACTATAAACTTCCATAACACATTCCCTTCTTCTTCTTCTTCTTCTGCATTTACAATACTCTGTTTCTTGGTTTCAAATTCACCCCACAGCTTCATTGCTCAGAGATGGCCCAGTTTACCTCCTCAGGTTTCTCGTCTTTCCCCTCTTTCTTTCGCTGCCCGCATTTTTTTTTTGCTTGGGTGCTTATGTTTACGTAATTCGTTACTTGCAATCGTTGTTCAGTTGGCGGGGTTGTTTGTTTTCTTTCATTCAAACTGTGATTTTGAGCTAAAGATTGCATCTTTGCGTTTTTTTTATTGTGTTGGATGCCTGCTTTTATTGGATTTGTTTTGCTGAATCGGATTGGCGATCTTTTTGTTTTGTATGTGTTCTTCTGAACGTGTTGTTATCTTCTTTGTTTGCCATTGTCTGAAGTTGTTTCGCTGAATAATTAAGAGTTATCCGGGTTGTGATATCCGTGATTGCATGAAGAGAAATAGCATCATAACTGATATTAGGCATTTCCACAGTGTGCTATAAGATAGTTGATGTAAAGATCCAAATTTCTGGGTAAATTTTTAGTTTTTATTTTTCTTTCTTTCTTTCTTTCTTTATTTTTGTGTGTCTGGGATCCGTGTCTGATTTAGATCGCGCCTATTTGTTAACACTGCATTGAGGAGCAGAACTCATTGAAAAATTGAGGCCATTTTATTGGCTGGAATTTGGTTCAAGGTCATGGAAGAGCTCTAATACTCAACGAGTTGAGAGCTAACTCACAAGATGTCTTGGTTCGTTGCGAATTCTTTGATGGTTACTGTTGATATATTTTCGAGTAATATTTGAATACAAATACCCACACTTTTATCTTTGTGGATTTTGACTCTAAGGAAACAGATCTCACAACAGAAGATGGAATATCAACTTCGCCATTTAGGATTAATGTTAAACATGTTGAATGATTCTTCTGTCTCTGACTACCTAGCATGAGACTGTTTTATGGTATTCCACAATCGACATACAAATACACTTATAGAAGTCATCCTATCTCGAAGACGACATTTTCACCTTTTATAGTTTTAAGGGCTGCATCTTGGAATGTCCAACTTTTTTTTTGGTTTACTTACAGTTCATGTTGGTTACTAAGCAATTCCGTTTGTGCAGGTAAATCAGATGACCTCACAAAAGAAAACGGCAAGGAAAAAAGCCCACTCGTTGTTTGTTTTGGTGAAATGTTGATAGATTTTGTGCCAACAGTGGGTGGAGTGTCACTATGTGAAGCACCTGCTTTCAAGAAAGCTCCTGGTGGTGCTCCTGCCAATGTGGCTGTTGGCATCTCTAGGCTTGGTGGTTCATCAGCTTTCATAGGCAAGGTGTATTTTTTTATCCATGTCTGTTTATCCAGATGAATATTGGGTGTCTTGTAAGTTATTACTCTCCTCAGGCCTTGCAGCATGAATTTGTTCAAATCTACATATTTAAGATATTTGTCATATGTTATGTTGTTTAAAACTCTCTGAATAAGAATGTTCCGGTTACCTCACCCCCAAAAAAAACAGTGTGAGAGAGATATAGAGCATGCTTGCTTACTATACTGGATAAGAAAATCATAGCTTAATTCCTTGTCCTATGTGTTTTAGGTTGGAGCAGATGAATTTGGGTATATGTTGGCTGATATTTTAAAGCAGAACAATGTTGAGACATCTGGCGTGAAGTTTGACCCCAATGCAAGAACCGCATTAGCTTTTGTTACGCTTAGAGCTGATGGCGAGCGTGAGTTCTTGTTTTTCCGGAATCCTAGTGCTGATATGCTTCTTCAAGAGTCAGAGCTTGATAAAAATCTCATAAAGAAGGTGTTTTGAATTCCTACTGTACTTATAAAATGTGTCCTAAGAAGAGCTTTAGTTTATGTCCAGATACTCATGATATTTATCGCAGGCTAAAATATTCCATTATGGTTCCATCAGCTTGATTGATGAGCCGTGCAAGACGGCTCATCTTGCTGCTTTGAGAATTGCTAAAGAATCTGGTTGCATTCTTTCATATGATCCAAATTTGAGATTGGCACTCTGGCCATCAGCTGAGGCTGCAAGGGAAGGCATAAGGAGTATATGGGATCAAGCCGATGTCATAAAGGTATATTTTATGTGGCAAGAAGAATTTTATATGATCTTCTTTATAAAAGCCAATAAACATTTAAATTTGTTTTTTTATTTTCCTGTTTTATTTTTGAAAATAAGCATTCTGTCATTCCCCCCCGCCAAGCAAACCAGATGTGATGGGTTTTATGTTTGCGCAGATAAGTGAGGAAGAGATTACATTTTTGACTGGTGGTGATGATCCTTATGATGATGATGTTGTATTAAAGAAGCTTTTTCACCCTAATCTCAAGCTTTTAATTGTTACTGAAGGGTCAGAAGGTTGTAGATATTACACCAAGGTAAGTCTGTCGAAGTGATTTGACTATGATGCCAATTGTCTAATTGGTGTCGTAATCCCTCTTTTCATCATTTTCTTTGTTGTCTGACCCTCTGCCGGTGTGTGCTTGAATCAACATTTGTTACTCTAATGAGTGGGCTGAATTGATGTTTGTGACATTTGTAAATTTGAGAATGTTCCATTCCATCATGTTATAATGTACTTGATGACTACTAGTACTAGCTACATGTAAATCTGATACTTGATGACTTATTGAATTTGATGTTCAATTCACATGCTTTTTGGGAATAATGATCATTGATCAGTGTTCAGCTAATGGTAATTGCCTAATTTCTGTTCAGGAGTTTAGGGGTAGGGTTGCTGGTGTTAAAGTTAATTCTGTTGACACAACTGGCGCTGGTGATGCATTTGTTAGTGGGATTATCTATAGCTTAGCTTCTGACCAAAGTCTTTTCCAGGTAATTTTTATACTCTATGCTGTTTATCAAATAATAATTTCATTGTAATTGGTAATGATTTCAGTTTTCTGTACAAAACTTTTATTAGAATTCTGTCTGAAACATACATATGAAATTGAATTTATTGAGAGTTGATGCATTTATTTTGTGTGGCAGAATGAGGAGCGTCTACGAAAAGCTCTATATTTTGCCAATGTATGTGGTGCCATAACGGTAACAGAGAGAGGAGCAATTCCTGCACTACCTACAAAAGAAGCTGTTCTGCAATTCAGCCAAAACTGACAGTTAGTTCTTGTCACCAAACTCAAATGTAATTTTTGTTTTTAACTTTAAGCTATAGTTTGAGTCTTGCTGAGCTTCGTGTATCCTCCTTCTCATCGGGGTTGTATTTTTCTTATATATATTCAATTTACATTGCTCTCTCAAGCTATGTCTTATAGCAGTTGAGCACACAAATTAACGTTTTGGTTCAAATGTAGTAGATCTGTAATAAATCGAAGGTATAGTAGTATAAGAAAATGAAAAAAATGAGATAATATCTTCTTTTTCTATGTACATCACACTGCTGGAATGATGTGGAGTAGCCTTATGTGTGTTTTGTTGTTGAAAACTTGCAGACATATATTGAACGGGAATGATACAAGAGCTTGTTTTATATTTTGGTGACTTGGGAAGAGTGATTTTACGGTTAAAACGAATTTTCAAACATTTTCTAAGTTAAAATTGCATGACAGAAAGATTTTCAACTTATATGTTCATTGATATGGCTTGATAACTGGTCCATTCAACTGAAAAATTGGTGAATCTGGTACGTCAACAATCTGAATAATTCAAAAAACAGATGCAAATTAAGTCGTTTGAATTGGATCAGAACAAGTGAAAATTAGTGGCAATTGAGATATAATTAAAACTCCGTCAAATAATTTGTTGCCATTTATTATTTTATTATTTCTCTTTTTATTTTATTTTATTGGGTATACAATATGATTTTTATATCAATTTAATATTTTACATAATTCAATCATACTAATGTCCATGAAAAAAAAAAACTAATTTAACAAAGTGGTTTTTGCCTATTTGAAGACTTTCGTTGGAGAACCATTGCAGTCCATGACTATGACATACAATCACCAGATTCACCACTCTTGGGCTAGTGCGGAAGAATTGGACAAGATGGACAACTGCAAATGTATTACCGTCCACTAAATAGTGATTAATAAGCTACTTTTATTTATTTATTAAAACATACTCATATTATATCCAACTGAATAATGTTTTGAGAAGATAAGATCAGTGAATATGAACCAAGGGTAATTCCTAGAGTCCCTAGCAATAATATTATGGGAGACTAAATTTGCTTGTCTTCTAGTAAAGTCAACAACATAACAATGTGGGAGCAAATTTGCTTCTGTGTTACTATTTTCATGTACATTTTATTTGAGATAATTTTTTAAAATTTTAAATAAAAATAAAAAATTATTAAATGAAGATTATGAAAAATTGTAAAAAAAAATTAATATATAAGAATTGTACATTATTTTATTGATGTGAGTAGTTAAAAAAAACACATTATTATATTATTACATAAGATAAATGTGTTAACTTTTATAAAAATCATTTTAAAATTCATGCCTTAAATAGTTTTTGATTAGGTTTACATAGTAAAAAAAATATTTGAAGAGAGCTCTAATTTTATGGATCATTAATCTTCAAAGACTTTGGTTGGCCACTTTTAAAAATATTTTTTTAATAAAATTTTTTCCATTTATAATATTCAAATTCGAAATTTTGTTAGAGATAATCCTAATTTAATATTCAAACAAAATGAGAATCTAATTCTTAATTTTTTTGGATGAATTGTATAATGCGTTTATTTAAAAGAATTTAACGTAATTTTGACGAAAAAACGTGAAGGTGAGGTGAGATGCTAATCCAAACATGGTATAACGTGTTAGGCACGTGCAAACGAGTAAAAGCTCCATCCACGATAACTGTGCAACTGTAACACAGACCATTTTTGCTTTGGGTTCTTCAAACCGCTTTTTTATTTTTTTTTTCCTTGAACCGGACGTCGGTGGAGACGGTCGAACCGGGTCGAAGCCGTTGCTCGAAAATCTTAAACCGGAGGACGGCGGACGCTTGCGGTGGCACACGACGGAGTGTTGGAATGCGAGTGATCGGATTCCGAAATGGCTTCGAACCCTTCTCTTCTCCCTGAGATCGGACCCGACGGTCTCCCTAAAGAAGCTCCCGTCATCAGCTACACCGAGAAGGTTCTCTTTCTCTCCATCGCCGTAGTCCTTTCGCTTTCTCATCACTGCATTATTTCTTCATTGTTTCTCTTCTTCTTGTTGCAGATCATCGAAGCAGAACAGCTTCAATTGCAGAAGTAAATTCTCTCTCTATTTCTCTTTTTTCGGATCTCCCTATCATTTGCTCTCCATTTTTAACTGTTATTATCCGCTTTCACTTACCGCATTGCTTGGATTTAGCTTATTTTATTCTCGCGTTGAAATCGAATTTGATCATGTATATGCTGTTTTCATCTACTTATGGAGAGAGTTTTGGGAGAAATTTTAGATTCTAGAATGAATTTATGTAGTTCTGCGATTCTCTATTCAATATCATGTAACCAATGACTATGGAGTGGAAGATGTAGAGTTGATTTTCATATATACCAGGATAGAACATAGGAGATGACTTGAATGTTCTTTATTGGGATGATAGAACGAAGCAATAACATTTTTTGTGTATTATGATATTCATAAAGCTTGAAGAACCGGAAATATGTTGCTAGCAGAAGGAAGTAAAGGCGATGATTTTTGCATTAAAGTGTTGGTTGGAATGTTAAGGTGAATGGAATTCATTGCGATGTTTTGGTGATGGTAACACTTAAATCCATTTTTATGATGTGCTACAAGGTTGGTGCAGGTGTTGGCAGGACTCGTGTATACAATGGAATTTGGATAGTTGGCTCTCTTAAAAAAATATAACTGTGATTACACTGTTCTGAACTTGTAACTTAGTATAAAATATGTAGATAATGAAGTAAGAACTATGTTTTGTGTTTAAAGCCAATCAATAGGTTGAGATCACGGAAGAGAAATATTTGTTACTTTCTCAATTATGATACTGATATCTAGTTTGAACATACAAGACTTTTGGGATTTTGGTGATTAATCTTGTGAAATGTGAATAATAAGAAAGCGGTAAATTTGTTGTCTTGATAAAAACAAGATCTTGGGTAGTTTTGAATGTCCTGTGATCCCTTTTCTCCACTATTGTATGGTGGGATTGCTGGCTAACTTTAAAGATTGAATGAGGCATTTATTTAGTGCCAGTTGCCACTGAATACTTTATGTAGACAAATAAGTAACTGGACTCAATCATCTTGACCTCTAATTATTATTTTCAGATACATTCAAGAAAACTATTCTAAAATTCGTGATGTGGAGCGTGAGCTTGCAAATCTTTCACTGGAGATGAAACTTACAGCTGGGCCAAAAAAAGCAGGTTTCTACATACTATTGTTGCTCTTTCTGGCATAAATTTAAAAATGTTGTTCTTCCCTGGTTTTTTTAGTGAAATGACTTTGCTTTACTTTTTATACATGATGCATACTTTAAGCACTTGAACATTTGAGAAAGAAGATAGAGGCATCGACAGAAAAAATCCGCATGGCCAAGCTAAAGGAAGAACAGGCACGAAAGGTCTGTTACTCTTATAATTTAATATTCTCCATTTTTCTCCTGCAATTTCATAATATCAAAATTTTAGTGGTATTGGTGCTATATACTGCATCATGCCAGCACCAGACCTGCTTAATTTAGCTTCTGATCTTGAATTCACTATTAATGAAGTTGCTGGAATAGATAATGAGGATACATATGTTAATGAAAACCCGTGATGTTTAGAATTGTCCATAGTGTACTGAATAGGCTTATAGTTTAAAGTGCATTGGAGATATATTGATTTCTTACTCATTAAGGATCACATAAATATATGTTAATGAACACCCGTGATGTTTAGAATTGTCCATAGTGTACTGAATAGGCTTATAGGTTAAAGTGCGTTGGAGATATATTGATTTCTTAGTAAGTATCACATAAATTGGAGATAATATCGTTTAAGCACTTTACCCAGCAAATGCAAATAAATTTGTAATAAAAAAATCATTCAATAGTAGTAAATAAAATGAAGGCTTAATTGTATTTTTGATCCCTCCAATATTGCAATTGTGCAATTTTGGTTTTCAAGATTTTAATTGAGTAATTTTAGTCCATCAATTATCGCAATTGTATGATTTTGGTCTTTTAAATTTTAATTGAGCAATTTTAGTCTCTTAAATATTGCAATTGTATGATTTTAGTATTTTTCATTAAAAATTTAATAATTTTTGTTGATACGGTACTAATGGGTGACATGATTTTTCGGTATTTTTAATTAATTTTCTTCTAATATATTTATCTTATCAAATATAATTATATTTTTGTAAAAGCATATTAATATAATATAATTTATATTTATAAAAATATTAATTTATCTATAAATATACTAATAATATCATAATACTAATGATATATAAATTTTATTTATTTAGTAATAATAAATATATATGTATATATATATATATCATTTAATACATAAATAAAAATTATGGTATATGTAACTTAAATTATTAGATTTTTAATGATATGTTTTGAAATCAGACTAAAATTGTTCAATTAAAAATTTCGAAATCAAAATTATACAATTGTGATATTTGTGGAATAAAATTGTTGAAATAAAATTAAGGAAACTAAAATTGCACAATTGTGATACCTGAAGGAACAAAAACACATTTAAGCCTAAAATAAATATCGATTTAGTTTTATGTAATTAGTTTTCCCTCTATCTGTTTTTGTGTATGTTGAAAGAGGAAGAGTTTGTTTTACAAGATATCTGCAGTCTGAACCATTATTTGTGCGAACAACACAAATGAATTGATTGTTATTCTTTTAATTTTGCTCTTAATAATATTGTCTGTATGGATATGGATAAGGGTAGGTGATTTGAATCATTTGATCTACAATATCAATTGGTATGCTAAGTACCTTGTCAAATATAATTGACATCTTAAATAATTGTGCTCTAGGTGTGGGAATCAGCATCAAAAGTAGTAAGAGACGAGGAATCCATAAAGCAAAAGCTATGTGAAGACTTGAGTAATCTGGTAAATAGTGTTAAAAGAAGACATAATATGCTACTGTTTAGCTGGTTGTTTGACACTAATCTTATACAGGTTCAAGAAAGCAGTAACTCTCAGTTTGCTCGGCTGGAAGAATTAAAAAGAAGATTGGAAGCTCTGAATCCTAGTCGCGCATCAACTAATCTTTATCATGTATGTTTTTTCCTCACTTTATTCAACATTATTACATCTGTATAGTTACTAGTTAGTGATGGCTTCTAAGCTACCCACCTAATTTTGGTTTATATTTCTTTTTGGAACTCTGTACCAGAGTGTACAATAACTTGCGCTTTCTGCCCAACCAAATGAGCTGATTTTGGAGTATATGATACTTAATGCCCTTAATGAATTAACTGTTTTTTAGAACTTCTAACCATATGTCTCGAGCTTCATCTATAATAAGTCTCTCTGCTACGAAACTGGTAATATTCCATTTGGAATTGTGGACATGAGTTGTTGCCTTGTTGGACGAAGGGGAACCTGCTTGCATGTTCCGACTTTTTTAACTGAAAATATTGCATTTTACTTCACGGTTTCACCATGTTGATGGCTAGATGCTCTACATTTAAACGGACTCTCATGCACAATGCATGCTTTTGCATATGCATTTTCATACTTCATCAGTAATGTTAAAATAGTGCACTTGAATTATATTAGGATGGGAGATCAGGAGGTTCTTCTCTGGATAGTATAGCCCAACATGGTTCCTCTGTTCCCAATGCAAAGGAATCAAATGAGGGATCAACCGAGAGTGTTCCCAACCAAAGTAATGGTCAGAAAGTCGCAGTGACAAATGAGCCTAATCAGCAGCCTCAAAATGAAGGCGAAGGAAGAAGTAAAAAGAAAGTGAACTACCAATTAAAAGGAAAGGGAATCGGTGCTGTGGCCAAGGGTAGGTCTTCTACTCCTGGATGGACTGGGGCTGGCTTCGATGTTGATGGTAGAACCTGAGAATATTATAGTAAGATATTACTGCTCTAAATTCATTTTGGGTGAGAACTCCGTACTTTCTGTGCAAGTTATGTATATCCTTTTTGTTCTTGTTTAGTTGTTACAATTATTAACTTGGAAGTGTAATCTCTTTCCCCAATTATATTGTTTCCGTGACGGTTGACGCAGACTAATATTTTAAAAATCTGGCGTGATCTTTAATCAGAAAGGAAGAATATCACCTGGAATTTATAATTAAATACGCAATTTAAGCCATCAAATTTAATTTAATAACTGTATTTAGATGTTTTCATTTTCCACGACAATCAAGACTTCTTATATATATATATATATATATATATTGTTATTAAAATCAGCATGGGCCGACTGGTCTAATTGATTGGACCAGGAACAGGTAGTGCTACTGGTCCAAGTCCAAGCTGATAACTGAATCTCGGGGCATGCAATTGAAATGGAGAAAATGAGGTTAATCGGTGGTTCTTCGGTTAAATCCACAAACTGGTTGCCTCCTCTCGGGCCGGTTCTTACACTTAGAGACACATCCACTTTTTTTTTTTTTTTTTTTCTGCACTGCACGATTTGCGAGACCCACGTTCTAATTTCTGATTACAGGCTATTATAGCTATTATAATTTTATGCTGTTGCATGCTCAAACTATATGCTCATAATCACGTTTTCAAATAATAACTTTTTAGTAAAATAATAATTTTTTTATAAAGTTACTCTATTAAATAATTCATAGTTTATAATGAATTAAATTTTGACAATCTAATTTTTAAATTAAAAGATTTTAATAAATAGATGAAGTTTATAGTTTTTTATAATTTAAAAAAATTATTTGATATTTTATTATATTTATTCACATTGTCTATATTCACGAAAATACATTAGGTTAATTTAAATATATATAACAAAATATTATACTATTTTCAAATTTTGTAAAAGTTTGTAGAGTTCTATTTTTGTTAAAAAAAATTAAGGTTAAAATATTTTTTAATTTATATAGTTTCATTTTATCTTTTAATCCTTATAATTTAAAAAAATTAAAGTTAAAAAATCCTTATAATTAAAAATAGTTTGTTTTAGGTTTTATACATATAATTTTTTTTTGTTTTTAGTCTCTATAATTTAAAATATATATATATATATATATAGTTCTTATACTTGTTTTTTTTCAATTATCTTTACTCTCTATAGTTTAAAGTAATTCTTTTTATATAGTTTTTATACTTCTAGTTTTGTAAGCATTTTAGTTTATATTAATTTTTTTTTGTAACGTTTTGTTTTATGTTGATATCCTATAAGTTTTCAATTTTGTTTGAATAAAATAAATTATGTCTCAACAATGGATATTGTAAGGGAAAGTATAAAAAAGACACAAATCTTAATTTAGAGTAATTTTAACAAAATAAATTTGATATCAAACACATAAGGTTAAATTAATACTTATTTTTGTTACGACAATACAAAATAAAATTTACAAAAAAAAATGGCAATGATGATTAAAATAATTAAAAATTTACAAATATAGAATTAAAAAGATTTATTTTAAAGTATAGAGATTTAAGAAGATTAAAAATGATTAGTATAATTACTACAAATGTTTATTTTAAACTATAAGGTAAAATAAGTAAAATTATAAATATTAAAAATGTAACATCCTAAATTTTATACAATAGTTAATTATTATAGGCTTAAATATGTTTTTAATCCCTCAAATTTAAGGTAAATCTGTTTTTGGTCCCTCAAATTAAAATTTTTATTTTTAATCCCTGTAATTTCAAAAAATCTTATTTTAGTCCTTATATTCAAATTTTGTTAAGAAATTTATCAAATATTATTATATAAAATCTACTTATCGGTATCCCTATTAGTGAAAATATCATATTAAATCTGATTAATATCTCATAACTGTCTTAATTAGTCACTTTCAAATATGTTATTGGTGATTTAAGGGACTAAAACAAGATTTTTAAAATTTATAAGAACTAAAAACAACAGTTTTAAATTTGAGGGACCAAAAACAAATTTACCTTAAATTTGAGAGACTAAAAACATATTTAAGCCATTATTATATTTATGAAAATTATTTTCTTATAGTTATTAATTAATAAAAAGGTTTACTTTATAGAACATTTTAGATATTTCAAATAATTGATTATTATTTATTTTTTTATATTTATGAAGATTATTAAATGAGTTTATAATTAAATAATAAATATTATTTATTATTATTATTATTATTTTGGTATTTTAAAAGGCCCGGAACCGCCCGTTCAACTTTTTACGACCCTTTCCAATTATGGTTGTTCTCAAAAGTGGAACAGGCCGTTCCAAATCTTTAAAGAGACCTATTTTTGTTAGCCCAAAACGAGCCGTTCCCAAACTGGAACGGGACGTTCCAAGCTACGAAAAGTGCCTGAAGACCATAGTTGAGAACGAACTGTTTCAATTATGGTCGTTATGAGTAAAATTTAAGCCCAGAACGGTGCGTTTTGGTTTAAGAACGGGTCGTTTGGGTCTTGAGAACGGGCCGTTCCAGTGCTAAATATTTCACAAAACGAATGGGTCCAGAACGGGTCGTTTCGGATTCAGAACGAGCCTTTCTGGCCACTCCAGACTTCTATAAATACGAGGGAGAGACTGTGAAAAATTATAACGGAGGTGAAAAAGAGAGAAAGAAAGAGAGAGAGAGAGAGAGAAAGAGGGAAAGAGAGAGTAGAATGTAGAAATAGGATCTTGAAGATTTTTTCGCAGATAAGTCGATGTTTTAAGGTAGGGGGAGGAAAACTTTATCTTTTTTAAAATTTTAATACTATTTTGTTTACTTAATTATGTTATTTTATTTTGTATTTGTTTAGTGAGGTATTCTTAACCTCGTTTATTTGTTTAACTTATGATATTTATTTTTATCCATAATAATTAATAAGGTGTTCATATTTTATGTTTTTAATTATTTAATAATGATTATCATTTTCATTTATATGATTGGGACTCTTAATATATTCTTCTTACGTAAATATTATTCAAATTTATTTAATGTAAATATATTTTATAATCAACTATAATATAGTTTTGATATCTTGGACTTGTCTTGTTGTTATTTCTTTATGTATTTATGAAGATAAATATTATTTTATGGTCATAAAAGATAAAGTTTGAATTATTTATAGCCGAAAGTTTGTCTTTGAAGATTTAAATGAGTAATGAATGAAGGTAAAATATCTTTTTGTTGGTTAAGGTAAAATATCTAAAGATTATATATAAACTAATGTAAACCAAACTTGCACTGAGTCTTAAAGAGCATCAGGTGAACTTTTCCGGCCATTTAGCTTTTTAAGTTAAAAAAGAAAAAACCAATACTAGCAATTAAATATTCGAAAATTTAATACAATAACTTGTATGAATATATTCGTCAATAGCAAAAACTTTGTATATTTTTTTGTTTCATTGATTTAAACATATTTAGTTACAGAAAACCGAATCAAACCGTTGAAATAGCACCTTAAATTTTACGAAAAATAATTTAGATACGTGAAACAAAAGAAAGCAATGGGGTTAGGGCATACTATTTTCTGAAAAGTATTAACGGAAACGTGAATAAAATAATCAGGAGCGTTAGAAGCATCAAGTAACAGACGTGAATCATTATATAAATGCCAAATATAGAGAGTAAATTAAATATAGTATTGAAACTTTGGTGAGTAGCTTTAGTAGGTAGCAATAGCATTGGTCACGAAGGTAAGTTTTTCAATTTTGATGGTTAGAAAGTAAGCATCGATTGCTAGAATGAAAAAGAAAAGAGGGCAATGGTACAAAAAATAGGTCTGCAGTTGTGGCAAGTACCAAGTTGTGGTGGGACAGAGCTTTTATGTCATAAAAAATTTGCACTGCTCAGAAATTAACTCCCAATTTCTACTCTGCTTCTTGCTATTAAGATGGTCTGTGTTAGAGTGTCAGCCTGCACTGCACCATCATACTCTAATTGTAACAACAGACTCTCTGCTACAACGAGTTATTTCATGATAGTACCTCTGCTTTTAGTTTATAGTAATCAGACTCACTCTCTTCAAATTACAACTTTTTTCACATATTACCTTCTTTTTCTATTTTCTACTCACTCACTTCGCAAGACTTCATCAATTTCAGACCTTGCCACTTTTTTACAATTGAGTAAAATTTGAAACACATATTGCATTACAAAAGGAAGCTCTTGCATAAACAATAATTATTTTAAAAAACTGAATTTCCAAATCATGAATATCATTAATTAAAATCATGACCATGCTAGAATCCTTAAAAATATAATGAATTGAATATATAAAAAGGGATGTCTTTTAATGTATTTTAAATAATCTAGTTTCTATGCACTACTTGTGTATAGAGATATGCCAATGGGGCCGTAGTAGTCCTGTCTCCCGTTTTGTTTAGTGTAAATATTTATATATTTTTTATATTATATATTTTTTAGTATTTTTTTATATTTGATCAAATGTAAGATTTTAAATAAAATAAAAATAAAAATCAATTCAAAATAAATAAATAATTTTAAAACATATATTTATATTAAAAAAATTGTAACATATAAAAAATAAATAATTTTGACATATATATATATATATATATCTAATAAAAATAAATTAAATCAAATTTTTATATATAATTAAAAGTATTTTTAATAATTTTAAAATATGAGTACTTGTGAATACGAATATTTTATTATTCATTTTTGTCTCGTTATTAAGTGAATACTCACTTAATTACTAATTTATAATTTATATCATATATTTATGGGTACGAGTTTTTTTTTTTATCTCTAATTATGTAACAGTACTACGGAGTTTGAGTGCTATACATATAGTTTTAGATTTGAATATTGTTGTAATCATTGTAATTCCTGTGGATAAAAAGAAATATTATAATGCCTGATTATAAATTTGTAATTGATATTTTTCTATTATTTAGTAATAATTCCATGAATTTTGACATCTTTCCATAATACTATTTCAATTATATAATCATCATTAATTCAGTTGTTATTACTTTTAATTGAAAGAATTATATAGCTGTGCTTTTGCCAGTTATTGATTTTATTATATAATTATAAATTAATTATACAATTGATAATAACGTATTAATAATTTCAATAATAGTATTACTATGCAGG